TAGCGCCCCCTGGCGTCTGACCTGAGTCACTGCAGACATGTGCCTGCATTTCCTGAGTTAAAAGTGAACGTCTATTCACTTGCAAATTAGTTCAATCTAAGCAGGTTAGACTAACCTGCAAATATTGACTCAGTTTAGTCTCCTGCTTTTTTAATGTCTGCCTAGCCCTCAAGTTCACCCATTTTGTGCGATCAGTTGGAGCACCAGCCAATGGGAACCTGTGTACATATTTATTATTTTGGGCTTATAGCAGTGCAGACTGCCCATGCTGCCGCCTGTCCTCAGCCAGGTGTCTCCATGTACTAATCCCAGGCAACTGTGACTGACTGCTTCTTGGCTGGCCATGCTTCCCCTAACTCTAGAGTTTCCTGGGGCATTTAAATGGCCAGGCCTTCCCCAGCTGGCCATGCTTGCCTTTAACTGCAGTGTCCCAGAGCATTTAAATGACTGGTCAAAGAGCAGTGTCTCCTGGGGCATGAAGTTGCCAGGTGCTGTAGGGAGGCATTGGGTTTTCTATGGCCCTCACACTGACGAGGAGGAGCTTGCTGTGTTTTTGGCTGCAGCACTAAAGTGCCGCCCAAATTACAGTGTCCCTCTTTTGAGATGTTGTTTCAACCAGTGCACCAAGGGATTGTAGATATCAGCATAATGCTTACAATTGATTAGGACTGCATTCACTCAGATGCTTGCACCTCAATCAATTAGCCCTTCAACCTGGTCCAACATGATGATTTACATGGCATGAGCCATTTTTAAAGCAATTGAAGTTCTTTGAATGCTTGCACACATGGCAGTTCAACTGTAGCTCCACTGGTTGAAATGTAATGTTTGTACAGACCCTATGTGAGATATGCCCAGATCCTCCTAGCACACAAGCCTCAGCCTGGGAAGGTGAAAAATCCCCCAGCATCCCTGCCAATCTGACTTGAAGGGAAATTCCCTCCCACCCCAGATCTCATGATGAGTGTGACCCTCAAGGTGCAGTGAGCCACCCCAATCAGGCATCTAAGAATGTATCCACATTCTCTGTAAGACTTCAGAGCATGGGTCTGCCCTACCTATAACAATCTAATGGTTCTGCAGAAGGCTAGAGTGGGGTGAGAAGCAGAACAAATAGGAGGGTTGTTGATGGAGTCTGCAGGAATTCCTTCTTATAGTTAATTCTCTAAAGCCCAGAGGCAGGAAAGTTGATGTTAATGAAACCCTTACTGCAAAACTGCATTAACTGTTATAACTGTATGCATTATTTATCCCTATTTTTACATCATAATATCTACATGTAGTGTGGATAAGTTGAAAACTGCTGTTTGAACCAAAACTTGGAAGTTCTTGGATCCTGCATTTTTAAAAAAGTTACTTGTAGTTTAGGATTCATCCATCAAACATTATAGAATGTGCATTTCATTTTCTTGTCTAAAAAATTTGCTTGCATGCACTAAATTTATATTACTTAAATACAGGTCAGTTCTCTTCCAAATATCTTGTAATACGAGACAAATAAATTTCCTGAGCATATATGTATGAATGTCATCATATGTGCAATGGGTCATTGTTCTGTTTAGTTCAGTGTGCAGAATTCCAGAACACATGCATTCAAATACCTGGCAAGCTAGATAACATAGTACTGTTTGAAAAATACAAGACTGTCATTTGTCCAAACAGACATTCAAGGAAAGGTGGCCTATGATTTCCACCACACAGTATGGTTTATATAGATCACTGCTGTTTGTGTAGGGTATGAACATGATCTGCTACACCTTCCTCTCAAAAGCTAAGGGGCAAAGAATAAGTGAAGCACTGTTGCTGACTCCTTCCTTCCTATCAAGCGTCTTTAATCAGGGATCTCGGTTTCCCATTTCTCACAGAAAAACAGCATAAAACATGGATTTTACCTTTACTGGAGGCAAATGCAGATTTCTCATTGTACCGGAGAAACCTGCAGATTTTTCAGTTTTGCATGAGCTCCCCGCAGGCTGGCAGAGTTCCAGCCTGCAGGGCTAGGGACAGACATCCAAAAAGCCAGAGCCTGAATTGATGCAACTTTTGCAGGTTAGTCTAACCTGTCTAGGCTGAACCAGTTTGTAACAGGACATGCATTCATTCTGGACGGAGGCAATGCAGGTACATGCCTGCAGTTGCTCAGGCCAGGAACCGGGGGGCACTAGAGTCGGCCAGAGCCCTGCAAGCCCCCCGCAGCACTGCCATTCTCTGCAGCAGCTCTGCCAGTCCCACAGAGCAGCCCCCACTGGGAAGGAGCTCGCACTCCAGGAAGCCATCACAGTTGCTCCCCGCTCGCTGCCCCAGCTGCTGGATGGGGGCGGGGACAGGGCCCAGCCCCCACTGCTCAGTCTGTGCTCAGGGCAAGCCCCCTCCTGGCAAGACGGGGCCTATTCAGCTGCTGGGCCCAAGCATAGGGAGAGTAGCGCTGTGGCCAGGCTGGACAGACCCCACTGTGGTGCCAGCGGCTGAATAAGCCCCCTTTTGCCAGGAGGGGACTTGCCCCAAGCACAGAGAGACCACTGACACTGCAGTGGAGTCTGCCCAGCCCGTCTGCCAAAATCCTGTTTTAATCTCCTGATTTTTAGGCTAATCTCATTATTTTGGGGGAAGGGAGGAACAAAGGCTGATTCCAAGTTGTTGAATGCAGTTTTGATCTTATTCCCTTTTCACAATATGCTAGTAAGCTTTGCCCAAGCCAGCAAGCAACCACCTTCTGTCCTAGAACAAAGGCAAACTGAGGAAAGAGTGATGGCACTTTGAACCTCCCACTGCTGGGGTATTGCAGTTTTGCCTTACAATGGGCACCATGCTTTACAAGGAGCTAAATCACAAACTAAATGAAAACAAATATTGCAAAATAGTTTTCTATATGATGCTTAGATCCTGTGAGCTTGCCTATTTCTCATTCAGTTTTATTCTTGGCAAAGAATAAACTTGGCAAAGCACACATTCTTCACTGAGGATTATGTTCCTGCCAAATTTTAACTTCTCAAACAAAAGACTTGGAGTAATCAGAGTGCCAGAAATGTCAGGACTAGTTTCTAAATATATGAAAAACACCATTTCCCACTCTTGGATAACAGATAATAGATGACCAAATCGATTTTCTTCAGACCTTCAAGATAGTTACCTTTTGGGGTTGGAAAGCATGAGAAATTTCAGTCCACAGAGAAACTTTGTTTGCGAATATAGAAGTACCCAAATATAGGACATTAGAATAATGGTATATCCAACTAGCTATTTCAGCTCTGTAATAACTATGAAAATAATAGATAGCATTGGGAACAATTTTAATAGAAGCATTTGACTGTCTGTCTGGTTCCTGGGGCAATGATTCTATAGTATAGATATTCTCAGTTTGTCTGGGACATAATTAAAAGCAACTCAAGGTCAGCTTTGTGTGTTCAGTTTAAAAATATATTTTTCCTAGAGGAATATATGATTATTTGCTCTTTTGAGCAGATTTTATGGCTTCTAAATTGTTTCATACTCCATTTGAAGACTGTGTACCATTCCTTCGGCAGCTCCCAAGTGTCTACAAGGTGTATGGTACCTTCAGTTTAATGGGATAGCAAAATACATTGAGGACTGTGAGATGTCTGCCGTGCCATGCCATGTACACCTCTGTATTAGTTATTTGACTTCTACTTCTGCATGCTTCCCTCTGTAGCCTTTTGTATGTCCCCTCACTGGGAGAGGTCACTTTTGTCCCTGCCTTTGTGGTTGAGACTCTGGAGTGAAGTATTAATTCCTAAACATCCTTTCATCGCCTCCCTGTGCTAGAGGAGGATGTCAAAGTCTTTGAGGTCCTGTAGGAAGCACCCACACAACAGAAATTTCCTTAAAACATGACATATTAAAAAGAGAAAATAAACAAGGTATTTAAAATACAGTATTTGATTACTTTGCAAATCTAAAAGTAGGCTCTCCATATGGAGCAAAGGTAAAATGTTTCTCAGCTGTAGAACAAAATCCCTTGTCTTGCCCTTCTTTAAGCAAAATTCCCCACACTCTTATCCTAGAGGAACTGCTTTCCTCCATTATCCAAGTCCTGGATGTTAGTCTCCATTGTCCTCCCAAGAGGTCAACTCATTGTTTCTGTAGAAGACTGACTAAGTTGGAAGTGTGGCATTCAGAGGCTGGGATACCAGGACTATTTTTGTCTTGTTACATCACTGTTTTCCTGGTCTTCCCCTGAGCCAAACACTGCATGAGCCAAACACTGCATGAGCCACATGCAGTAGGGCACCTCTCCCCCCTCATCCCCAACACCCAAACTTCTCTTCTTCCTACACGGGCTCTGCTGGCAGCACATGGTTCTCCTGCCCCCACTCACAGACAGTGCACAGAGCTCCAGGCCCTTTCCCATTACACAGCAGTGAGAGAGCTGGCTGCTGAGGCCCGTGGGGCACATGTCAAGTGTTTGCCAGCTGCCAGTTGGACAGTCCTGGTTTAGGCTAATTCAAGTGATGCAGGGTTTTTTTTTTATATTTCCATTATTTTCAGCAATAGAAGATAACTCGGGCCCTCCTGACAGAGATCTCCTCTTCCATCCATTTTGTTCACAGCATAGACCTATTTTTTAATTCCTCTTTATCAATTTTCTCTGACCATAAAAGCATGAATTATTAGTAGAACCCCAGGCCCTCTGTCACAGGCTCCCTTTAATTGTATTAAAATCTAAGGTAAGTGAGGGGGAAATTGCCTTCATCTAAGGATTGTGATCTTTTTTTCTCTATTTGTGAATGTGTACTGCTTCTAAAGTTGAACCACAGTAACAGCCCATTAGGTTATCTAGTTTGTAGGTACACATTAGGTATCTAAACAAAAAACTGGAGAAAGAAAATCAATCCATTATGGAAAACAGAAGAAAGTATGACCACAAACAGGCTGGGGAAATAACCCAGGTTTAATTTAGTAGTGTAATTGAGAGAGCTTCTGCAGTAAAACCAGTTCATTTAAGATTATAATGCCCCCCCCACACTTATTTTGTTTTCTAGGTGTGGCTGGACCTTTTGAAGCCCATTATGAAGCAGATTAGAAGTAAGTGCTTGTTGCATGTTATTTACTGTATCAATCCAAAAATAAGTGAAATTAGATGAAGTGAGGCTCTCTCAACTGAAATCACTGCTTTTGTAATTTTCTAGATTATATGGGGGAGGGGGTTTCCCTTCAGCTATTTCTTCCTATACTGTGTGCCATTGTATTATGTTCATACTGGTCATTTCTATAAAACCAAAATTATAGCAATTATCTTTCTGTATCTCAGTGTTTTCCCTCTATCATATCAAGGGGCTGCTCCTAGCCCATTGAAGAGGTCAGGCAGTGAATGATTTTTGCCAGGTGAGGTAGGTACCAGAGAGTGTTAGTTAGCCATGTTAGTCTGAAGTCATGTAGGTTAGGATGAACATTGTAGACTAACTAAATCAGAGATGTATAAATTGTCATGAGTCAGAGCTCATTTCATCGGTTGCTATGGAAGGATTTGCACAGAGCAAGCTATCAAACAGAGTGATTTATACATTAAAAAAATGGAAGGGGAGGAGGATGGGGAGGGGAGGAGGCAGTGCTGCGGTTTGTCATAAACCTGTAATGACAAAAGAGTCACAAATAATGGGATAAGAATCTGTAGTCCCTGTTTAGTCCAGCCTACAGACAATTTCTTTTTCTGTAGTGTCACGTTTGAGTCAGTTTTTAAAGTTTTGCTGTATAAGAACAGCTACTCTGAGTTCAGCAATGGAACAAACGTCCAGGAAGATTAAAGTGCTTTGCCAAAGACTTTTTTTGTTTTTGAACTTGATGTCCGATTAGTGTCCCTTCATTCTTTCACATAGGGATTACACCATCTGTCCAGTCTAGACAGCAGAGGGCAAATGGGTATAAGCATATGACATTGGTAGGGGTGCAGCTGAAAGAACTTTGAATGTTCCAATCCATGTTATTTGGGCTAGTGATGCTGTAAATAAGGTGCAGTGCACCAGGGGTTTCCATTATTACAGTATTTCTTTTTCATTATTACAATGACCTGCAATTACAATATGCAGAATGGACATTTAAAAATCAAAGTTCTTTTTTTTTATGTTGCATTAAATCATGTTTATTATAAAGTAATTTGAGAAACTTAGGAAAAAAAGCAGTGGTAAAAGGTAAGTATGCATTATTGTAAACCAGAGTTTCCAAAACTTTTTCTTATTGCATACCCCTTTCCAGATTGACCTGCTGCCTGCACACCCCGCCAGCATATGTTTTATATTTTAACTCCTCAAATGTCAGTTATTAGTATAGTGAAAATTAAATCTGCCATTACACAATTTCTCCTGAGTACCTCTCAGTGATGTTTTGCATACCCTCAGGGATATGAATAGTTTGGGAACCCCTGCTATAGACTTTACTAATCAATTTCTATCTGATAACAGGGAGGCAAGTGGTCATGAGTATTTAATGACATTTCTTTGCTCTTTCCCGTAGGACCTAAACACATTGTTGTAAAATTTGTAGTAAAATTCTTCCCACCTGATCATGCTCAGCTGCAGGAAGAACTGACAAGGTTGGTGTTCCTGCAATTCTTTTAATTCATTAATGGGTAGAAGAGGAGGATATGGGAAGCTACTGTGCTTGGGAAAGAAGTAGACCTCTGAGTACCATTTGCACTTCCTGTGTTCTTGTATGGACCTGAGTAATAAAGATGTAAGATACTACAGTGCTCTCATTAAGGGGCCTCAGGAGAGGTAAGAGCACCTGGTTGGCTCCCTTGGTTTGGGATCATTATAAAACTCTTGTTTTATATATTTCAGTGCAACAAGAAGTTTCTAGGGAGCAGCACCAAGGGAGGGAAATTCCTCTCAAACATTTGTTGACCTGGATAATGGAGTGAGAAGACCAACTAGAGCAGGGGTGTCCAACCTTTTTGAATGTGAGGCCGGATCATGAACTTTTTATCACCCAGTGGGCGAGCAAGCCATACTCAAACACCCTCTGTCCTGGACCAGAGAGACCCTGCCTGTGTAGCCCTACTGCACCTGCCTGTTACTGCAAGGTTCATGGTAGCTGCTGGTGGGCAGGGGCAGGAGGGACCCATTCTGCATCCAGCCAGCTATTGCCCCAGAGACTGAAGGGGAGAAATAAATAGCTCCACATCCCCATCCCCCAAGCAACACAGCCCCACGACCTGGCACTGCCTGAGGGGGGCTGGAGCGAGGCGGCCGCTGCACCACAGCACCTCACCCGCCCACCTGCATGGCGGGAATAGCATCCAGGAATATCTCCTTGCTAAAAAGGAGGCTTACACCCAATGGAAAGAAGGGGTCATCACCAGGGAGGGCTATTCTGCGGTTGCTCGGGGATGTAGGGGGGTAGTTAGGAAGGCCAAGGCAGAGATGGAACTGGGACTAGCTTCCCAG